AGAAAATATATGAACTAGAAGGTAAAATCACCTAAGAAGATGAAAAGGACGCCTCGGGATGGACAAAAACAAAACAGTGGATGTACTTTGGAGAGAGCCATCCTTCAGTTCTGTGTCCATTATTGAATAATAAAGATGATAGAATTGGATACCATTTAGAGTATACCCATGATTATTTCATGTTATTAGTATGCTAGTATTTATATTATTTCTGTCAGTACACATTTTTATGTATATCTCTATTCTTTTCAGTAGCAAAAATTGGGTATGTTCATATATTATTTGGTTTTTTGAAGGTATGTTTTATGTGATATGCTGAGGGATGATAGTATGAGAGATAATGAGATAGTATTAGAGAAGGTAAATGCATCTAATTTGAACTAGATTCCCTCATATTTTTTAAAGAATACCTTTCTATTTAAGTACTGTAAACTTTTATATTTACATAGTATGATCAGTTTATAAAGAATATTTATATGCATTATCTCAATTATGAGTCTTAGATTTTTTTGTAAGATTAACAGTGTGAACCGTAGAATCATAGCTACTCATTGTATGTGTCAAACTGTTGTTATAAAAGTCAGTATGTTTTTGAATGCCTATAAGGTTCTTAAGCTTGAAACAATAAAATCTCTGACCTCAAGTGGTTTGTAATATAATATGGTAGGAAAAAAACCACAATTAGGTAGTAAAGAATAACCTACTTTTACATTAGATTTAGTGAAACATTTATATCTATAACATGTTCAATTAAATAACTATACATATTAAAAATGTTATTGAAATGTGGGTGCCTTTTCTGTTCTAACACCTTAGAATTACATCATTCAATTGCATACATTTACAGTAATCACAAACATGCTCAGGGAATGGGTGATGATAGCTATTGAACTTTTTAAAAAATCTCAGATGTGCTTTGATTGCTATAGAAATTTGAGACAGCTGATCTAAATACAGAGATAATTATATGTTGTTTTAAAATTATTCTAAAAATTTTACCTCCATGCTTATAAAATATTTTATTGCAATTATTCATCTTTCTTAAGAATATAAGAGAATAGATGTAGAAGGAAATATTGCTTAAATGCACAAATCATATTGATGAGCTTTAAAAAACCTATTTAATCATAACACTGAGCTAAGTGAAGGGGACAAATTAAACACATGGTCCCTGCTCACAAAGGAGCTTAAAACTTATTTGGTGAGACCAAAGGGCCATAATTATTCTTCAGTAATTTAAAATAAGTGCTAAACTGTGGTGTTGGCTTAGAATTTTAGCAAATATTTCATGTAGGAGTGAGGCCTTGACATAGGATTTGAGAGGCAAGTTGGTGAATATTTTATTTTGGAAAAATGTTAATAATTAGGACCTTAATTGTTTATCACTATGTATAAATAATTTTCCACTATTGGGTTTTTGTAGATGCGTTGAAAAGAGATGCTTTTAGCAGCTTGAACCACAGAAAAATAATGAAAACATTTCTGAGGTATATAAACAATTGCTTCTTGAACACTGAACTCTGATGGGATTTTGTTGTCACAGCTACAACACAAACTAATTACATCAGCTCTGTATTTCTAATAGAATCCTAACAGTTGTGTTGTAACTTCGGTAGTATTAAATAAGCATTGAGATGTATGAATATTATATATTCATATCCTGCTATTAATCAGGTTTCCAGTCTAGTGAAAAATATTTTGTCTCCCTAACCATTTTACATATTAGGAAATACATTATTCAGTGCTGCTGACGAAAACATTTGTTTTTATACTTTTAAAAAAATTCAAAAGATTTTAAATTAAAAACTAAAAATATAAATGGGGATAATCCACCCAATTTTATTGGTAATTGGTTATTGCTAGTAGAGAGAAAAGTTAGATTTTTGTTTATTTACTTTGTATCTAGACAATTTATTACATTCTTCTGTTTCTAAAACATTTTAGTAATCTATTTTGTTTCTTTCCTGTATTTATATATATTATTTTTATTTCTTATCTTACGGAATTAGCTTGAATCTGTGAAACAAAGCTAAATAATAATGGGAATAATGAACCTGTATAACTTCTTCCTCATTTTAATGGGAATGATGATAGCCTTTTGCTGTTTAGTATCATGTGTTATTATTTTGTTATTGTTAATATTTATCATCTTTAAGTAGTTTTCCTCCAATCCTGTTTTACATAAGATGTTTGCTTGGATTGACCACTGAATTTTATCGAATGCCTTTCGAGAACCTTTTAATACAATCATGAGGTTTTATCTTTTAATTTGTTGATTTAATGAATGTCAATATATAACCTGATATTTAGCTTTGTGTTAGTTTAAATGAGATTAGGCAGTCAAACTCTGTTTAAATGCAATGGAGACATTTATTTATTATTTATTATTTATTACATACTATATTTTCATTTTTTTATTGTATGATTCCATTTATATGAAATATTCAGAATAGAAAATCTGCAGAGACAGAATGAGACTAATGGTTGCTAGAGGCTGGGGGAAGGGGAAATGGTGATTGACTGCTTAATGGTTACTTTCCTTTTGAGGTGATAAAAATATTTTACACCTAGGTAGTGGTGATAGTGGTGATGGTAGCACAACATTGTGAATATACTAAATCCCACTGAAATGTACATTTTAAAATGATTAATTTTATGTTATGTGACTTTCACTTCAATTAAAAAAAAGCATAAAAACAAAACAAATGAATGAACATTTATGGAGCAGAGAGGTCTGGCAGTGTCAGGGCTTTGCTGTAAGAGAGGCGAGGGGAGTGGCGGATTTCTCAGGCCATAGGAGGACAGCCTGAAAACTGTGTGTTGAAGCCCATTCTCTTTACGAGGCAGGGAGAACATGCTCCGTGGCGTGCCTGAGATCTTCTCATTTATGCCACAATTCAACAACCATATTCAATGCCTATAAGGTCCCAGCCACTGTCTACTCTGAACCCTAGGGAGCTAGCTCTGTGCCAGCACCTTAAAGAGGAAATCAAGCTGTAATAATAGGTCATGCAAAAGCCCTAAACGTCGATTTTCAAATGATTTCTTTCAAATAAATATGATATGATAGATTCCTTTTTCTCCCAGAACTTTCCCTGGATGAAATTGTTGCAGTGTCTAAGAGCACAAGCTTTGGGGCAGGCTGCCTGGGTTCTGATCCTGGTTTAATACCTTGATAAGTATAAAACCTTAGACCACTGGTTCTCAACCAGGGGTGAATTTGCTCCCATGGACTTTTGGTAATATCTGGAGACAAGTTTAGTTGTTACAACTGAGGGAATGCTAATGGCAGCTAATGGATAAAGGCCAGGGATGCTGCAAAACATCCTACCATGCACAGGACAGTCCCCACAACAAAGAATTATCTGGCCCCAGACAATTGAAAAAGTGTCTTAGACCAATTGCTAAGCTGATTTGGGCCTCAGTTTTCTCATCTGTAAAATAGTGATGCTAGTCCTGGGCCATCTTAAAGGCTTGTGAGAATTAAATAAAATAGTGAGCAAAAGGCTCATAAAGTGCATGGCACATATACAGTGCTATTTTTTTAAGTATTACTACGACTGTGTCTGATTATCTTGATTATTGAAGACCGTAGTAAGACCAGGTGAGTTTGCCTTCTGCCCCTAATCAGCTCTAGCTATAAGCCTGTAACATGGGAGCATCACTGGTTATAGAAGATGGAGCGTGCTCAGTACCAGAGCCAGAAAACCCACTCCAACGGGCTTGCCTGATTTAGCGTAAAGATAGGACACCCAATTAGATTTGAATTTCAGTAAACAATAAATAATTTTTTAGTACAAGTATGCCCCATGCAATATTTGGGACACACTTATACCAGAAAAATGCTTTGTTATTTTTCTTAAATTAAAACTTAACTGGGTAACCTGTGTTGTATCTGACTGCCTACACTCCAAGCAACTCTGTCTGATAAGGACAGTCTTCACACACAGAGAACATCACTTTGCACAAGTTAAAGATCGAAGCCATCTCTCTCTGTCTCAGAGGAACTGAAAGGCAAATGTTATACCTGCTAAAATTACAAGTGTACCTCTAATTTCACAAAATAAACCACTGAAGATTAAACACAGAGGCTCCTCAGAGGCCCACAGCCTAATATGAGAGAAAAAGAAAAGTACCAATGATATTCTTCTATTCATTCATCTACCCAATATTACTTTTTGGGATATATTTTAAAGTAAGTTGCAGGTGTCAGTATGCTTTACCTTTTAAAACTTCAGTATGCATATCATTGACTAGAGTTCAATATTTGTTGATAATACATTTTTTCTCTTTTGAGTTACAATTTACATACAGAGAAAGCTCAAGTTGTACCATTTGATGAATTTTGACTAACGTATACACTTGTGTAATCCAAACCTCTATCAAAATATAGAATATTACCTTTACTCAATAAAGTTCCTTCATACCCCTTCCCAATCAGTACTACTCAAGTCAAACACTGTTCTGATTTTTTTCACCATAGTTTAGTTTGTTCAGAATTTAATATAAATGTAATCATACTATGTGCACTCTTTTGTGTATTGTTTCTTTTACTTAGCATAATGTTTTTGAAAATTTCCACATTGTTGCATCTGTCAGTAGTTTTTATCTTTTAACTGTTGAGTAATATTCCATTGTATGAGTATACCAGTGTTGTTTTTTGATTTTCTTGTTGGACACCTGGGCTGTTTCTAGGTTGTTATGTATAAAGTTGTTAGGGCTATACTTACATAAATTATTATATATGTATTGAATATGTGTTCTTCATTTTTTTGGGTACCATACATATGAGTGGAATTTCTAGGTCATACAACAGGTATATGTTTAGTTTTATAAGAAACAACATTTTTCCAAAGTGGTTGTGTTATTTTACTCCTACCAACATTTGCTAGTAGTTTTCTTCAATTAAAAAATTATCATGCTAGTGGTTGCATAGTGGTATCTTGTAATTTTAATTTTTATTTCGCTGATGACTATTTTTACTATTTGCTCTCTTTCAGACAGTTCGGCATGGTTTTCCTTATCAACCCACAGCATTAGCCTTTGATCCAGTTCAGAAAACCTTGGCTATTGGGACGAGAACAGGTGCTATACGAATGTATCCTTAATTTTTTGTTCATTATTTGCTATATTAATACCAATTACATTTCTTTAAATAGGTAAGGGAAATATTTATGACCAAATATAATCTACTGTTTCTTTAGAAGTGAGTAATGATTATGAAACCTGCATTTTCAAATTTATTTGCATGTATTTAATATCTGTGATATAAGTGTGATGTCCCTTCTTTAGTTCCTAATATTGGTAATTTGTAGCTTCTCTTTTTTCCTGACCATCCTGAATAGAAGCTTATCAACTGTATTGATTTTCAGAAGAAACAACTTTTAGTTTCGTTGTTTTTCTGTATTGCTTTTCTACATTCTATTTCATTGACTTCACTTTGATCTTTTTTATTTCCTTATTTTGCTTAACTTTGGGTTTAAGTTGATATTCTTTTCTTTGTTTCTTAAGGTTTCTTAAGGTGGAAACTGAGGTCATTGATTTGAGAACTTTCTTCTTTTCTGAAATATGTCTGTAGTGCTGTAAATTTCTCCCAAAATTTTGCTTTTGTGTCATCCCATTTTTTAAAATTAAACTTATTATTTTGAGTAGTTGTAGATTTAATTGTAGTTGTAAGAAGTCATACAGAGAAATCCCATGTACTCTTTACCCAATTTCCAATAGTAACATAAGACTGTAGTGTAATGTCACAACCAGGTTATTGATATTGATGCACTCAAGGTACAGTACATTTCTATCATCACATGGATTCCGCATGTTGCCCTTTATAATCATAGTCTAAACTTCCAATTCTCCCACCCCACACCTGACTACTGACCATAACTAATTAGTTCTTAATTTTAGTAATTTTACCACTTTAAGAATTCTTCATACAGTATGTAACCTCTTGGGATTGGCTTTTTTCACTCAGCATAGTTCTCTGAAGATTCATCCAAATTGTAGTATGTATCAGTTCATTTTTTTTTAATCATTGGGTAATATTCCATGATATGAATGTACCACACTTTGTTTAACCATTCACTTATTGAAGGACATGTAGTTTCTAGTTTGTGGCTATTACGATTAAAGTGGCTATGAACATTTGTGTGCATGTTTTTGTGTGAACATGTGTTCATTTCTTTGGTATAAATGCCCAGGAGTGGAGTTGAGGGGGTTTTATGGTAGTTTCATGTTTAGTTTTATAAGAAGATGCCAAAATGTTTCCCAGAGTGGTTGCAACATTTTACATTCCCACCAGCAGTATGTGAGTGATCCTATATCCCTACATCAAGACCAGCATTTTGCTTTGTTTTGTTTTTTTTACTTTAGCCATTCTGATAATTTTGTAGTGACATCTCATTTATATATATATGAATACATATTCTTATATATTTTAAATACTAGTCCTTTATCAGATATGTGATTTGCAGTTATTTTCTTCCAGTCTTTAATTTGTCTTTCACCCTTTTAACAGGATCTTTCAGAGAACAGTTTTTCCTTTTAGATTGTGCTTTTGGTATCACCTCTTAGAACTCTTTTCCTAACCCTGAATCTTAATTCTTTTCTTTAATTTTTTTCTAAGAATTATGTAGTTTTACATTTTATATTTAGGAACAGGTTCTATTTTCAGTTAATTTATTTATAATTTTGGTGTTGGGGTAATACCATCTTCAGAAAGTGACTTGAGACATATTCCCTCCTCTTCTGTTCTCTGGAAGAGATTCTGTAAAATTAGTGTTAAATTTTTGTGTTTGTTAGAATTCTCTAGTGAAGTTACCTGGACCGGTGATTATTGCATGACAGATTTTATGTTACAAATTCAACTTATTTAATAGTTATAGGATTATTTTGGTTTTCTATTTTATCTTTGTTGAATTTTGGTAGTTTGTAGTCAGTCTTACTAGTTAGTGGTTTATACATTTTATTGACTTCTTTATTTTTTGAGGAGCCAGCATTAGGTTTAATTGATTTTCTCCATTTTCTTGGTTTTAAGACAGCTTTAAATTAAATTTATTGGGGTGACATTGGTTAGTAAAATTATATAGGTTGTAAGTATACAATTCTATTGATTCTTGGCCTTTTGGCTAAGATTAAGTGTAATATCTGTTCTTTTCAGTTTAAGTATACAATTCTATAATCTGTATATCTCATTGTGTGTTCACCACACAAATTCTCTTCCATATATTTGACCCCCTTTACCCCCCCCCGTACGCTCCAGTAACTAATAAACTGTTGTCTGTGTCTATGATTTTTTTCTTGTTTGTTTGTCTTGTTTGTTGCTTTCAGTTTTATATCCCGCATAAGAGAAATCATATGTTTCTTTACTTTTTCTGTGTGACTTATTTTGCTTAGCATGCTAATATCAGGATCCAGCCATGTTGTCTCAAAAGGAGTATTTCATCTTTTCTTATGGCTGAGTAATATTCCATTGTATATATGTACCATATCTTCATTCTCTTGTTTTAATTGAGGTATAATTGTATAATTGACATACAATATATTAGTTTCAGAGATTGACTTATCTTTATTTCTTTCCCTCGCTTATCTTTGAGCTTATTTTGCTCTTTTTTTTCTAGTTTTTTTGAAGTAGGAACTTAGATTATTGATATGATATACTTTCTCTTTTCTAAAGTATGCATTTAGTGTTATTAATTCTCCTTTCAGCATTGCTTCAATGGGTCCTACAGATTTTGATATATGTATTTTCATTTTCATTCAGTTATATGTATTGGGTTGTTGGACGTATTTTTCTGTTTTTCTGACAACCCAATAGTTTCAAAAATTGCCCTTGAAACTTTTTATTTGTACCATGAATTTTTTAGAAGTGTTTTATTTGGCAAGTGTTTGGACATTTTCTTGTCTTTCTGTTATTGATTTGTAGTTTGATTTCATTGTGGTAAGAAAACACACTCTATGATTTCAGTTTTTAAAAATTTGTTGTTTGTTTTGTGGCCTAGTATATGGTTGTGTCTGTGAATGCTCTGTGAACTCTGGAAGAACATGTGCATTCTTTCATATTGAGTGGAATGTTCTATATTTGCCACCTAGATATTGTTGCTGGTTGCTTATGTTGCTGAGTTCTATATCTTTGCTAATTTTCTGTCTAATAATTTTATCAAATCCTGAGAGTGGAGTAAATTAGGTTCTCCAACTCTAAGTTTGTATGTATTTGTTTTTCTTTGCAGTTCTATTAGTTTTTGCTTTTTGTATTTTCAGGCTCTATGGTTTGGTGTGCACACATTTAGGATTGTTATGTCTTCCTGGTGGATTGGTCCCTTTATCATTATGTAATGTCTTTATTTGTCTCCAGTAATTTTCTTTGCTCTGAAATCTACTTTGCCTGACATTAATATAGCCACTCCTGCTTTTTTTTAAAAATGATGTTTGCATGGTATATCTATTTTCATCCTTTTACTTTAAATTTGTCTATGTCACTATATTTGAAGTGAGTTTATTATAAACAGAAAATTCTTGGGTCATTTTCTTTCCTTTTTTTTCAAGTATAATTGACATATAACATTATATTAATTTCAGGTGTACAACATAGTAATTTGATATTTGTGTATTGGGCTGTCGAAAAGTCATGACGTACTTTTCTATGTTTTTCATTGCAAAAATGTGTCATGACTTTTCCAACAACCCAATATATTGTGAAATGATCACCAAAATAAGTCTAGTTTACAGACATATATAGTTACAAAAATTTCTTTTGTTGTAATGAGAACTTTCAAGCTCTATTCTCTTACCAACTTTCAAATGTGCAGTACAGTATTAATGATAGTCACCGTGCTGTACATTATATCCCCAGGTCTTATTTAATTTATAAATGGAAATTTGTACCTTTTGATCACCTTCATTGATTTCACACATCCCTCAACCTCAGTTCTGCACTACCAATCTTTTCTCTGTGTCTATGATTTCTTTGTTTTTGTTTGTTTGTTTTTGGTAGTTTCCACACATATTTCAGATCATGCAGCATATATCTTTCTCTGACTTATTTTGCTTAGCATAATGCCCTCAGTGTCCATCCACAACATCCTTCTTTTTATGGTTGAATTATATTCCATTTTGTGTGTGTGTGTGTGTGTGTGTGTGTGTGTGTGTGTGTGTGTTTACCACATTTTCTTTATCCATTCACTCTTCAATGGACAATTTAGTTATTTCCATATCTTGGCTATTATAAATAATGCTGCAATGAACATAGGGATGTAGATATCTCTTCATGATATCATTTCTTAGGGTATATACCCAGAAGTGGAATTGCTGGATCATATGGTAGCTCTATTTTTAATATTTTGAGGAATATCTGTACTGTATCTGTACTTTTCCTCCTCTTACTAATTTCTAGTTTAATACCATTGTGGTCAGAAAAGATACTTGATATGGTTTTAATCTTCTTGCTTCATATGTGGTCCAATATATGATCTATCCTAGAACATGTTCTGTTTGTGCTTGAGAAGAATGCATATTTTGGTGCTGTTGGATGGAATGTTCTGTATATGTCTATTAAATCTATTTGATACATAGTGTTATTCAGATCTACTCATTCCTTATTCTGTAAGGATAATCTCTCCAACATTAAAAGTGCAGTATTTAAATCACCTACTGTTATTGTATTACTATTTAGTGCTCCCTCTAGTTCTGTTAATATTTTCTTTAAATATTTAGGCTCTCCAATGTTAGGTGTATATATATACTGGGGGTGCCAAAAAATGTATACAAGTGGACACTTCGGTCAACGTTATTCAAGCAGTAGTTCGCCATAATCAGAAGCATCTGGATACTGATGGTAACCACTTTGAACACTTCTTGTAATTGCAGAAGGCAAACGTGACTTCTATTCATCTTTTGTTATCGGTATATATGGAGTATTACAATTTTAATATGGCTTTCCTTTCTTAAAATGTGTATACATTTTTTGGGCACCCTCTGTATTTATACTTGTTATATCCTCTTGATGAATTGGGGATAGAATTGATGTATATCACTATATTGTGTTCTTTTTTCTCTTGTGACTGATTTTTAAAAAAAATATTTTATTGGGCAATTGGGGGAGGGGAACAGACAAGTTGCTGTCCTTTTGTTCTTCAGTCTAGTTGTGGAGGACGTCGCTTCACT